TCCTTCCTTCCCTGTTGCTTTCTGAGAGAAGCATGGGGTTTAGCTCCCTTAAATGTGGAAGGAAGCGCGAGAGAGCCGGGTCGCGGGGGCGGGGACCCCCTCGCCGCAGTCCTGGTGGGGAAAGGAGGGTACAGTCTGGGGAAGGACAACTGAGAAGGTTTCATCCAGTTCCTTGGCAGGTGCCCCGGCAGGCAATTAACCTTCCAGCAGCGTCCTTGACTGTTCCTGTGCCACGAACGCCTTTGGCAGGCGAGGGGGTTGTGGACCCCCTTCTCAGAGTAACGTTTTTAAACGCATAAGCCAGAACATAAGGGATCATAAAGGGAACCGATTATGCTGAAACGCGTTGATCGAAATACCGCGTAAGGAACCTCTGCGTGTTGTGCACGTGCCGCTTGCTGAACGCGCTGAAGGCCTGACCACCGTGACGTAGAAGGAACGGGGCGCAGAAATGATACCCTGAGCGAGGTGCCGCCCTGTCGCGTGCTGGGCAGACGTCTGTGACCTCTCTTGGTGACGGTCTCAGGTGCCACTCGTGCCACGGGGAGCTGCCAGTGGAAGGAGATGCGAGTGTCAGTTCGGTGGAGGTGGGGACAGAGATGCACTGTTTTCCGCGCCCAGTCTGCCGGCTCCCCTTGTCCCGCCCCCGGCTCAGAGCTCCCCTGCCCCGAGAGCGGAAACCGCCCTCCGGGGCTTTCCGGGCCACGCCGGTCCGAGTTCTGGCAGTGGCTTTGGGTGCTAAGAGCAGTAGAGCGAGGGACAAGGAAGGGACGGGGTGGGAGGAGCGGAAGAAGGCGTTCCCACCCGGGCGTTGCTATCACGGATTGGTGTGAGAGCCGGAAGTTCGGTGACGGAATCTCGGCCCATCCGCTTACCAGCCGTGACCCTGGCTGTTTCGGGCCTCACTTTACCTTTCAGTAAAGAGGGGCATCAGAGGTCCTGCCGCGTTTTCCTCAAGCCCCCCGACTTGCCCTGCAGAACCGCAAGGCAGGTGTAGAAATGGGATGCCGTCTCTCTGGGGAAAGATTTGACCGACTGGGTCGGGAGAGCGGGTCCACAGGAGCAGCACCGTGGGCTCTGTCGGGGGCTGTTCTCCGGGACAAAGCTGGATGCGTGATCGTGAAGCCCCCTCGGCGCTCAGCCAAGGAACCAGTGAGGAACGCGCACCCAAACCCGGACCCGGGGTTTCCAAAAGCTGTGAATAACCAGCGTGTGGACCACGATTGGGGCAGCATTGCCACTTGGTGGCAGCGTGCCCCGGTCGTAAGGCAGGTGGCCCTTCAGTGCAGCGTCCCTTCTGCTGTCCCACAGGTGACACTGGAGACCACCATCGGCAACAGGAACCCGGCCCTGTGGAAGTACGTGCAGCCCAAGGACTCTGTGCTGGAGTGGGTCCGCAATGTCGTGGCCAACCGCTTGGCCCTGGACGGGGACGCCTGGGCGGACATCTTCCAGAAGTTCAACAGTGGCACGTGAGTGGGCTTCTGGCACTGTGGCCTCCTCATCCCCGAAATGGACCGACCCCCCCCCAACAGTCACGCCCCCGGGGACCTGACGTGGCACCAGGGCCACATACCCCACACCCTCCGCAGAGCCCTCATGGTTCTTCCTGGAGTTGGAAAGTGCCTTAAAGTCTTCTCCCTTGTCTTATATTTAGGGAAACTGAGGCTCAGGAAAGGAAGGGCTTTGCCCCTCTCCTGCAGGCTCTTCTATCCAGGGACAGGCTCTAAGAGGGAGGCCAGGAAGAGAACCTGGAATATGAGAGCTCTGGGGACAGGGAAGGGCTGTGTGAGGAAGGGGACATGCGTGGATGAGGGCCTGTGAGCCAGAGACACTGGAGCTGGACATTGCAGGGCCTTGGAAGGTTGGGCAGAAAAATTGACTTCTGTTCCAATAAGCACTGGGGAGCCATAGATTCCTCTGGAGCAGGCAGACGGTATGATGAGAGCTGACGACACCTGTTCAAGCTGCAACGTCAGGGTGACAATCAGACGGCCGGACTTCCCCCACCCCACCCCCACCCCATGAGTCCCTACTCCGCGGGCCACTGGGGCGGTGGCCCCAGGGTGTGTTCAGTCCCTCTTCCTTGGGCACGGCAGGTACAACAACCAGTGGATGATCGTGGACTACAAGGCGTTTGTCCCCGGCGGGCCCAGCCCTCGGAGCAGGGTGCTCACCGTCCTGGAGCAGATCCCGTGAGTACTGGGGGAAGGACGGAAGGGTGTTCCAGGCAGAGGGAACTGCCTAGGCAAAGGTCTGGAGGCATGCTGGAATGTGTGTGGGAAGGTGTGGGAAGGCGAGCATCTGAGGAAGGCCAGGTGGGAGAGGGGAAGATTCAGGACGCAATCTACCCCGGGGCAGTGGGGAGCCATCAGGGGTTCTGGAGCAGGGCAGCGCCCACAGGTGCTCCTTTCCTCACCAGTCTTGCCCCGTCTCTCTTCTCGGTCCCAGGGGCATGGTGGTGGTGGCCGATAAGACCTCGGAACTCTACCAGAAGACCTACTGGGCCAGCTACAACATCCCGTATGTCCCCACCCCTGCCCCATACCCGCCTCACCC